GCGTGGCGATGACGCAGCGGGAACTGCCCAAGCTGCACGGTGAAGGGAGGCAGACATTAAGTGAGTCAATGCTACGTCACCATGTTAACAACGAACCGCATTGCATCAGCCATTGCAGGTGACTGCGGTTATGAAGATCCGAAGCACCGCATGCCTCGGTGCAGGATCGACAGATGGACTAGACAGAGACGAGAGAATATCACAACAACTTGAAGCGAGAACAGTGGCCAAGATTTGAATCCTACATATACGTGCCTACTTTAAGTGGCATACCGCCGTAGGCGCGATACCGCATACGCCAGTGCGTCTCATAAACCAGGGCGGGAATGTGGCCGCAGCCTTAGCAGACAGTATACAAGTTACATGTTGGTTGTCATGTTGACTGTAATATCTCCGCTGTCAGATATATGAATGCGAACTGAAGCCCTATCGGCATCGAAGTTGCAGCCAGAAGCGATCCATCGGAGTATGGCGCCACGCAATTCCAGGAAAGATGTGTCGGTAGGCGAGCGTTCGAGGGCACATTCGACTATAGTGAGCGCTCCGTCCGCGTTTCCGATACTACCGTGTAGGAGATAGACCAGCGCTTGTCGGTAAAGAAGCTTCGAGTAACGAGCCCATGACGGGCTCCATGTGCGACCTTCCTGCCAAAGACTTGTCTCCATGCATTCGTGAGCGGCAGTAAAGGTACGCGATGACATGCTGCCAAAGGTGGCCCTAAGCCTTCCAACTTTTCCGTCCTCCATCGCAATGCTGAACATCACTAGTATAGCATAGGCATGGTTCAGGCAGCATGAGGACCTTAGCTCAATCATCGCATCGACGAATGAATCCCCTCCCAACAAGATAAGGTTGCTCCAGGACGACGACGCGCGGATACGGCCGATCTCTGACGAACATGCAGACCACACGCTTGATCCTTCCATGCGGGAGCCATCTTGCCACTTCGCATCCCCGTAATCTTTCTGGCTTTGGAGTTGGTGAAGCAGTTCAGTAGGATCCGACCATTCATTCTTGCACATGTCCTCCGCCGTCGCAATCGCAAGCCCGGGCGACACGCGACCATGTACACGGACGTTCTTCAAGCCTCGCATATGGGTCTTGAATGGAGCGAGTAGGCTGAGTTGTACCTCTTCGGAGACAAAGGCGTCGAACGAGTCTTTGTAAAGTGAAGTGTGCTCGCCGAGCAGAGGTGCGACATCCACATCGACTATGAGAGTGTTGTTAAGAGTGCATCGATTGGTTTTCTCACAGAACGATGGCAGATCTCTGGCGAGGAGCATGACGCTCATGGGCGGCTCGTGCGAAGGCGCTGGCATCGACAATGTAACTGAGAGGATGTGGCCTTTGAACTGAGAGCTATGCAGATCGTTGTGTGTGATGACCGTTACAACACTCTGCCGGATGATGTCCATGACTGGTACAGGCGGGAATGCGCGGACAACGACGAAACGGTTCGCCTTCACCATGACGTCGTAGGCTTCAAGATGAACTTGACGACTGGTGAGAAGGATGGCTGTCTCTGCGCGGTGGCCAGCAGATGCAATAGGCACGCCGAGTTTCGTGACTGTCTGCTCGACAGGAGGTCCGAACGAACATAGCAACAGGGTGTAGACTTGATTGCGCAGTTCTCCGGGTAAGTCCATGAAGTGGAAGGGCTGAGTCGAATTGGATACCATGGCTTTTACGCGCCGCTTGAGACGGCGGGCGTGCTTGCGGAACTTCATGATATCAGTTCCGGCGGAGAAGCGAGGAGAGAACGGAAGAAAGAACGACAGGTAGTATCAATTTGGGGTCGTCTGTGGCGGGCTCCCGAGCACGAGCCACTGGTCCTAGCTTTCCCAGGCACCAATATAGGAGATTGTGAAAGGCATTTCAGAGCATTTCAGAGACTGCTGAAGGTAGAATCAGAGCCGTCGTATCCACTCCAGTATGTTCTCACGCTCTCTGAGAAGTACACCGTCACCCGGCTGTGACACAAGAGCTTTATCGATGAAGCTCAAAGCGCGATCCGTGTTCTGTGGGTTTCCTTCCAGCCTCATGAACATTGCGTACCGATAGCGCAGCTTGGCGAACTGCTGAAGCGAAGGTCTGTACTTGTAACCAGGTTTCCAGAAGCCTGGCTTCAACGACCGAGTTGCAGAGTTCAGCGCACCATCGGCCAATAGCTCAGCGCCAAACGCGTTCTTCTGCATATTCGCGATCTGAATGTGGGCGATATTAAGCTGCATCATAAAGTATAGCGGAGCGATTTCCGCAACGAATGCATCACCTCCCTTGCGAATTAGATTTGGCCAGGAACTGGACTCACGTAACTGCTCCAGATCGTAAACGGCGTCCTGCCAACCAATGACGGCCTCCTCAAATTGGCGGGCTTTAAACTGTTGTGACCCGCGATCTTTCGCGGCCGCAAACTCGGCGAGAACAGCCGCCGGATTGAAACATCTGTCTTGCCCAAGACTTTGACGAACGGTAGCTGCCAGAGCACTGTCGACATGGCCATTGATTTCGACGGTCCCGTATCCAAACAGATTGGCCATGAACGGCATGAACAGTGTTTCCTGCGTCTTCTTGGTGAAGAAACCGTTGAGGTCGGGTGATGGTGTGTTACTTGACGCAACGTCTAAGACGGGCGCCATGGTGATTGAGATCTTGATCTTTTCGCTGAACCCCGGATCATGTAAATCCCCATCGTTTAATGCCTTACAAAACCGGTCCAGATCGCTGTAAAGGATCATCGCGGTGACAGGTTCACGTAGGTTCTCAGAGTCAAGCGGGGAACGAGCGAATCGTGGTTGTTTGAAACCAATGTGCACACCAAGCACGTATCCCTTGAACCTATCAACAATGTCTTCGTCGATGGCGATCATCCGGACCGCTTGGCCTGCCATAGCAAGGCGCATGGGGAGCCCCCGCGACGATGTGACCTTTATGAAGCGATTGATTTTGACCATGACACTATAAGCCTCGCGGTATGTTTCTTTGGATACCCGCAGTATCGCGGTCTCGACCTGATGTTCTGCAAGTGTCGCGGTGAGAAATGACGAGGGCTGTATCGTGACGGTGGTTGGTGGTGGGCTGAAGCTGCATAATGCGATACGATAGATCTTGTTGCGTATCTGTGGGGGATACAAGTCAGCACGCATCATATTGAGGAGATTCGAAGAGTCCTACCTCTCCGGGGAGGTCGCGAAAGCGGAATGGGGTCGACGGCGTCGGGCCAGCCATCGCGGGTACGGCAAGTCGGGAAATTGCCTGGTAAATTGGAAGAAAGAGAGGTTATATGGATAATGGTTTTGTCGATGGCAGCAAGATCTACTTCACCCTGGATATCGGACTTGGAGCTGAATGCTGAGGTGTCAATAAGAAGACGCGGGGAAGCTTACACGCTAATTTGAGGTTTCACGCTAAACGCGAAGACATGTGACTTAGCGCGACGAGGTTTGTCAGTCATCTCTCTCTGGTGCGCATCCTCCTATACCTAACCAACACCTCCTCCTGAACGCGGTCTAAAGTTCGGTTTCGATGCCGTTGCAAATCGCACCAGAATCGAACGTGACCGTATTCGTACGTTCAATGCCCGCCTCCAACACAACAACAAAAGCGACTTAGCGCGGCTTCTGTGCGGTCTACGAACTCCAGAGCGACAACGTTGCGGCTCACGTCGCTCCGCACGACCAAACGTACAGCGGCCTTGATACACTCAATCGCTATCCCCTGTGGACGCTAGAAGACAGCTCTTCCGGTCTTGCAAAACGATCGATGCCGTTTAGTCCACATTATGCGTGAGTAGACTACCTTCCACGATAAACATTGTCTTTTTCACGTGCAGCACGTTCCGCATCCTCCCCTACACTGCTGTGCCCAGTTTCATATAGCATTAGCGCGGTAGGTGCAGCCTTGAAGGTAGCACGGACAGTCGCCAGGGCCAAGACTCCGTTCTCCCCGCCAGAGTCCCTCTCTGCGCACACGAGCAGTACAGTGTTGTCTTCTGTTGATCTCTCGTCCATGATGGCAAAAAGGTCCGTGAAAATTTCCGACTCTGTATCCTCGCGAAGCTTCAAGAGCAGTTGGTGACATTCCTGGGGCGTCTTTCCAATAAATGGGGAGTTTGGGTCGCTTCCGTCTTGTCCTGGTACTCCTGATGCCTCGTCGTAATAGTCGTCAACGCTGTCCACGAAAACAATTCTCCACATGTCGACCTCGTCGCGAGTTTCCTTGATGAAACGATCTATAGTCTGCAACCCTCGCTTGAAGTCAATGCTGAGCCGAAGCTAGGGAGAGGATACACCCCACTGACCTCTTCGGGCAGCCGAGCGGCGCAAACTACAGGGTACATTAAACCCATTTTCCGAAGTTTAGGTGAGTGGGAGATCAGAAAGATCAGGTAACGGTCAAGACGAAAGAATTCAACAAGGTCTCACGGTAGTACAGTGGTATGAACACTTAGCGTGATGGAGGGAAAACTTGTGTAAGACAGCATGTGGGACTTTAGCAGTATGACGTAAGTGCTCTTTTAGGTTTCTAACGTTCCCTGATAAAGAATTATTCCGCGTGCGGAGCACGCTACGGTATCTCTCCGCTAGCTTCTGGCTATCACGGCTGTCTACCTAGGTGCATGGTTGCATTTCGCTTAACAGGCAGCAATCCTTATTTACGAGTATGGCGCGTTAAAGCTGACGCGATGTCCACCCTGGAAACTCGAAATCGACTCGCAGCAATATCATTCTTTTGTTACAACCAGGTCAAAGATGGCCAGCACCTGCTTACCCCGCCTTCCGGACGAGTTGTTCATCCAAGTCCTCCAAAGCGTCGACGACCCATTCGTGCTCTGGGTTACATGCCGTCAAGTATCGCAAGCCTGGCGAAAAGAAGGCGAGCGCGCATTTCAAGCCACTTATCTTCCCCTTCTTCGCATCGATTGGAGCCACATTCGTCATGCAGGAGAGCATGGTGGCCGGATAGACTGCAATCTCATCGCTACCACAGACGAACACTCCATGGACCCACAATCTTCAACTCTCTCCCTTCTCGTACGATCAGGCAAACCACAGTCGGGAGAGCTGTCTTCGCACTGGGAAGATGTAGTTGATTGTGAGAATTTTGAAGGAGACGTCCGATGGATAAAATCTTATAACGACTGTCACCTATGGGGACGTTGCAATGGCTTTGACAAGCACGCGCAGGCTATGTGGTTTGATACTGCAGATGAACGGTACACTTTCGTCGGTAGTGCCGAGACGCGCGCTTTCGACATCAAGTTTCCGGCACAGGAACAACACGGTCGTGCCTGCTGCCGAGTAACATGCGACTGGAAAGCGTTGATGGACGCGCTGTTCACAGAGGAGAGATACGTACGGCACAAACGCCCAGGCCCATCTTTCTTTGAGCTTGGAGAGCAAGGCATTCGCGCGAATCTGGTCAAAGCCGAACGTGACATCATCATCAGGACTACTGCTCCCGAGCCGGAGTCGTCGGAAAAGGCTATCGCGGCCGAGAAGAAACTATACGAAGAGAATGTGAAAACGTTCTTACAAATACATTGTCACCAGAACGAGCAGTACAAATCACTCTACGCTGCAGCGTTACAGGAGAGGCTGCATCGTGTATGGATCAGGGGAGGTATAGACCCTTACGCCGGCCTTAATCATACCAGCTTCGCTCGCTTCTGCGACTCCAACAAGCGACTGACATTCGACCAGGAGCAAACCGGATGTGGGAGGATGATGCAGAGTAGGCTTGATAGACTCCAAGCTTTCGCCGACGGGATATGGGAGAGCAGGTTTGGAAGAAAGGAAGAGTTGACAAGCCACAAGGGCCGTGTGTAAAGCTCATTGCAGCTTTGTATAGTCCACCAAATCCAACCAAGACATATCGTTCGTCTCCCCAAATGCTTTCTCTTGATCTAGTGTCGTCTGTGATGAAGGCAGGACTTGTTTTGAGGAAGACAAGTCGGTGAGAGTGGCTTCTACCAAGTCGCGTAGCTGGTCATCCGCGAAGTCACGCCATATGGCCGTCAATCTCACGTCGTCTAGGCGGCTTGCGATGAGTTTGTTTAAGCGAGAGGGCAGGATGCGGAGTAGTTCTCGAGAAGTGTAGTGCGACTCTTCGCATCGCGTTGACATAACATCCCGATTCCGGTCTCCTTGCACTGCGCATTGCGCATCGACATCTAATCACCGTCAGCGTGTCTATCAACTACGACGAGATACAAAGTAGGTAGAACTTACAAGCTTTTCTCAGTTCTTTATCGTCGGCATATGGAAATATAAGCCGGTAGATTTCACGCCATCGCTTCTCTTCCGAATTCCCCGCTGCACCTTTTTTTGACCGCATCGCTTCGAATATCGCATGGCTTAGACTCCAGATCTCTGTGCTTGGCCTTTCCACAAGCTGGCATGGCTGGTCATTGCGTTCATGCATGGCTAGGTCTTGTTTCCCTGTTGCGTTTCCCTGGAATTTGGCCCCGCATCGTTCACATGTATAGTATAGGTGCACACGTTCCAGATGTTGTTTGAGTCTGTGGATGCCGAGGAAGCCTGGCCCGACGCAAGAGTCGTTTTCACAGCGTTGTGGGTTGCGTACGTAGAAAGGGCATGCGAGACCGGGGTTGGTCGTATCGCAACGACGGCGTCGGGGCTTTTTGCGGGGCGGTGGGTTCGTATCGTTGGGAATGGTGTCTGATCTGGGCGGTATCTGGTGGTCGACTTCGTTTGCGCGTTTGCGTGATGCTTTGTCTACGTTAGATGTCTTACTTTGAGAGCCGTAGCCGCTGTCGAGGGCTTGTTGTGTCACGGTGGTGAGTGTGGATGACGTTAAACTCGTCTTCGTTAGGGCTGAGGTTATTGAGGACGACGCGCCGTATGAACTGGTCGTTTTAATTCCAGCATCGTTGCGGGAATGTGCGATGAAAGGCTCGTCAATACCATATGTTGCCGGCAAGTTGATGTGACGTCCATGAGCCAGGTCCGCTCTGTCAACCCCGAGGCCAGGCACTCTCTCACCATGGATCGACATCAGCGTTCTCGTGTCATCGTGACTGTCAAACACCTCCAAAGCTTCCACCTCCTGGCAGCCATCATAGAATGATGCAAATGACGATAAGTTCTGCTGAACCGCAGAAACCAAGTCATCAGCTGTACGTAGTTCTAGAGAACTTCCCGTCTTTGGCACATATACAAGTGTCACTTCTGAAGCTTCGTAGGTCACGATATCATTCATTGCGCCGTCCGTTGCAATTTCCAGGGCGGAAGGGTAGTGACAGGCGTAATTGTCAAGAAAGCTGGTGGCGTCGCACATGGAGCATGCAGCCCATAGTGCAGCACGGTTCTCAGCGAAGCCGCATTGACAACATGTCCACATGCGCACATGTTCGATGTGCCCGTTAGCAAGCGAGTAGAGTATGCTCTCTGCGCAGTGCGCGCATCGCCAGTGTGTGCCTCCGGAACGGAAGAGGATCGAATTTGAGGGTGTGGTCTTCAGATAATCGGAGGTCGGAGGGGCTATCGCGTCGGTAGAGCTGCGCGGCAAGTCGAGTGTATCAAATGAGGATTCCATGATAATGGCAAGTGGGGATCGCGGCTATCTTAGACCTTAATATCGACGAGAGGCTACAATTGTATTGACCAGGCGAGCATCGCCTCCAGAAATGTGCCGAGGCGTCCAAGCACCTACCTTGAACGCGCAAAGTTGCGCAAACTCTCAGCCATGGGGCTTTGCGCGCAAAATGCTTGGTCATTGACACGTTCAGCTTCCCGCATGATGCATATAAGCAGAGACGTGTACCAATCAGGAGCGGTGGTACGAACTTGCAACGGTGACACGCAGCAGTCGACCTGGTGTTCGAGGATACCAACTGAACGATCGTTGCAGGTTCCTGAGTTCTCGTTGGAATGCGAGGGTGTTTCTAACCCTTGGAGCGGCGTGGACAGCTCGGAAGCAGTGATGGGCGGCGCATGTTGAGAGACATCGACCGAAATCAGAGCGATCTTGTAAGCTGTCAAGACAGCGGATCTGACGTTGGGGTTTTCGAATGGTCGTCATTGCCGCTATGCCTGGCCGGCAGAACGTCGGTGCAGGGTCCATGGTCACCCACCTTCACAGGGCCAAAGCGCAGCTTGCAGCGCTAGCACGCGATCATGTGACCGTTAGCGCGCCAAGCCCACAGCGCCCATATCAACCTCGCGCAGCCCTTCCCCTTCTTCCCTCCTTAGCTCTCTTTGCCTTTTGGCTTAGGTACGTCCTCCTTCTACAAACACCTTCGAGACACCTGCTGACTCACCCCTCCAGATCAAGTGTAGTATCTGTTCTTTTCAGTTTAATCTCTGAAACGTAAGCCTTCTCTCACCTATTACCCTTTTCGGCATCGCGCTAACATCTCCCAGGTCACTACGGTGACTTCAAGATTATTCTTATTTTTGGACTCAGGTCTTGGGTCCCTGGGCTTGCTCATACTCCGGACCACAGTGTCGCCAGTATCGCACTATCTCTGGCTGACGCGACCACTTTTTCATTGAGACTTCTGGCTTGCCAGTTGCTTGAGGAAGAAGCTTGCTTTTTACCTTTCCCTATCACTGCTCAGTCGGTAATGATCTTGGATGATTGCGCGCTTTGGGAGCTCCAGGAAAGCGGATATCCATTTGATGTACTGACCGCGCCAAGGTTTCCACCGACATGTATCCATGCTCATCCATAAAAGCTGACTTCGCGCTACCATGTATCGCCAGTAGGCTGCAGAGTAAAGCTGCAGCGACTGCTCAAGCCAAACCGTGGTCATGGGCAACATCCCGACAGACAGTCAGCTGCTTCAGATGCTACACCCCAATGAAGCTGGTATCCGATTGCGCCAACTTATTTTGGCATGACACAGGTCGATGTGCGCACCTTGCGATAGCCCTCTTGGCCCACATCACGATCGCACCATCGTGTGCCACGGCATGTCCTCTCTTTTATACATGCGGGCTGGCGAACCCAGGTCGATAAAGCATGAAGGATGTAAAAGAATGCTCGACACAATGCTCCATCTGCGCGTATGCGAAGTGATAATCCTCTTACACTGTGCTAGACTTGCGATGATGCCGTCGCTTCTACGGACATGTCGCGCGACCCCCGATTTCGAATTCTGATAGAGGGAGAAATGCGGGAATCCTGGGCGAATATGCGTCGAAAACGTTGTATTGTCCGTCCAGGAATCCCGCTAGTGTGCTTGGAGTGAACGGCGGAAGATGCAGACGGCTGACGAGGGTAGCAGAATCTTTCGCCGTTGCATTCGTACCACCAATAATCGGTCTCTTCTTCGTGATCCGCTTTCTTGAATCTTACCGGCGACACCGCTTCTCGTGAGCTTTTCTTCAAGCGCTCATATACTAGGCGCTTCAGGTCTTGCATTAGAGACATTTCGATGCCCATCTCGTATCCTAACAGGTACAGGCAGTTCCTTAAAAGTTTTCGAGGTCTCGGACGCAATGGATGCTTGAATGTGCTAATGACGCTTAGAAACACTTCAACGACACTCTTGTTGTAGTCGACTGTGAACCGATCTTCTTCCTTCACGACACCCATCATGCCGTACACTTTGTCTCGAGCATCCTCACATGTGTTTTCAGAAAACATCTTGATGCAGTCCGTCCACTTCAACTGTGGCCTTAGGTCCCAACGCTTTCTTGCATGCCCCAAGAGGCCGCTGAACCCATGGGGCGTTCGACCACGCAATTGGAATTTCCAGACTGCCCTGCACCAAACCTCATCCAATCTCTTCCATCCAACGCAGCGTTTCCCGTTAAGGTGAAGTTTGACACTCTTTGAAAGCAATATCTCTTGTATTATCCATAGTCTTCTAAAGTAGTCGTTCTCGAACAGCACGATGATCGACGCAGTGTCGAGATCCTGGTCATTGAAGCGATCGACTTCCCCCGAAGGCGCCAAGGGTACATCGCCCAGCCAGACAATGACAGAGGTGGCGTCGCTGTAGATACGCGACATCATTCCGACCTGGTGGTTTCGTTCCGCTGTATCCGCCTGCGCAATGCAGATTTGATCGATCCATAGCCACGCATCCACATCTTCTCGCAACTCCAACAAGCATGCGTGCAGAATGTCTCGAATCTTTAGTCCCTGCTCTCCGATGAAGATGTCATGCGATGGCGATGGCGGGCCCCACCGGTAGGACAGAGCGATGTATTCTGGGGCCTGCTCGAGCCGAAAGACTTCGATTTCGCAGTTTATGGGGCCTTGTTCCTCTTTGCGAAGCTTGAGCAGGCGTATCTCGTCTAGAGAACGACTAAGTGGCTGGTGCTTGTATGTTGCGGGCTTCGTTGGCGGCTCAAGGCATGCTTCGTGAGGCTCTCCGATGATTGTCGCATCCCGTTCGCACATCGCGCATTGTCTTTGGCTGTTGAAGTTTCGGGTGCTTCGTTGTCGAGATGACTTCCGTGTTAAGGCGAGGATGCATTCTAGGCAGACGAGATCTTGTTATCGTCCATGGCAGCTGAGGCAATGCGGGGCTGTGCAGCAACCACGCGTCGTGGCGTTTTCAGCCTTGTAAGCTGACCGGATAGCCAGGTAGAAAGTGCATGAACGCAAAGCTGGGGGAGCAGGCCTCGGTGAAAGATTCTTGCTCTACATAGTTCTACAAGATGGGTGACATGGTGCCGACATGATGGCGTTGAGATCCATCTTCTGCCGCCGGAATCTAGCGTCGAGCACAGACCCCGATCTCGCACCACCTGAGCCACCGAAACACCAACAACAACACAAACACAAAGTGAGCGACAGAACTACCATACAAAAGACCCAAGAACGCCTCCCAATCTCGCGTGTGCGGAACAATCTAGAAACACCGAACAACGTCATGTAATGCGCAACTACCAAGGGCAGACAAACACAGGCTGTCGCGTGTAATCGCCGCACTGGTACTCGCCCTTCTCCGCATTCACATCGTTGGGATCCTTGTCGGCCGGATCATTCACGCAGCCAATGACTCTCTCGCCACACCAGAGCGCTCCCGGGTCGTCGCCGTCGTTCTGGTACCGGCACTTCTGCCCGTCAATCTCAAGGTCGAGCTCCTTGGTGCCGCCAGGGTACGTTGTGCCAGACTCATCCCATGGTACAGTTTCAAAAGGTCGGAGGAAGTCTTCGCGACATCCGACGCCCTTTTCAAAGTCGGCTTCGAGGAAGAGCCAGTCCATCGTGGGGGCACCACGCACGTAGGAACCGAGGACTGCGAGCTGCTTGGTTGGTCCGGTCGGCTCCGGCTCAGCATGATCGCAGACGCCACGCCTGATCTTCTTTCCAGGCGGGTTGGGAAATCCATTGTGTAGGTCTTGAATGGCTTTGTCTACCTTGCCCATGAAGTCTTCCATGCCCATGTGCTCTCCCTTTTTTTCAACCGTGAACACCTGAGCGAGATCACGGAATTCGAAAAGAGGCACCCAGCGCTGAGATTTGAACATCTGTTCCTCTCTAATGCCCAGTTTCCCGATAGACCCGTCATTGACCTCCTTGTCAAACTTTGTGAGATCGTCTGGGCTTTCTGATTCTGGGTCCAGACCATGAATCCAGTCTTTGATGTTGCATCTAGCTGGACCCCGGGAAAACGTGAGGTCTCCGAAGTCATCGTCGGTAGGTTTGGGATTTTCGGGAGTACCCGTGCAATACTCTTCATCAATACTACGTTCTGTCAGTGTGGTCGAACTGTTTACAAGTCTAGACGAAACCTACTTGGTACCGCCTCTCTCGTAGCATGCAAGGACGTTGAACAGGGCCCAAAGGTCATCTCCCTTTGCTGGCAACTTGGAGCTAACCTGCGCAAATATCTTGTTGAAGTTTGTTCGAGGCATGAACGTCGTGTAAAGCTTGGGACTTGTGGCGAAAGGATCACTTGCAAGTTTGGCGTACGACAAAACCAGGGTGCAAAAGGCCAACACATCATCCGTGACCAGTTCCGGGCTGATGCCGCCTGGACTAGTCTGAAAGTGCTCCTTCGTCACAAGCATGAGATGCTCGTCCCCTTGATTACAGTACCCAACGAGGACATTCCTATCGTCACCGCTGACGTCTTCGAAGCTCTCTTTCATCAGGCTGTATAGCGCCTCCAACGGCATCCCCGTGGTGATCTGGGCCCCGAATTCCACCTCCTCGGGGGCTTGGTCCTTTCTGGTTGCGATTCTCCATGGATTACAGTTGTTTTCGGCGATGTCAACCTTTCGGTCATCTTCGCTGCCTTGCCATGGCTTCCAGTCAATCTAAACCTGTCAGCAAAGAATATTGCGGATGCGTTGAATGGCTCTTACAAGGTCCTTGGCCATAGCTGCCGCGACCTTAGCGCCATTGGTATCGTCACTTGTGCTGCCTACTTTGACTTCATTACCGTCGATGATGTATTCAGCTTGAAGATACTCCGCGTCGGCGCCAGAGTCCGCAGTAAGCTTCCAGTTCTTGCCTGTTCGATCGGCAATGACCTTGTACTTGGCTGCAAATGTATCCTGTTTGCTGCAACCTGGTTTCCGAAGGTTGAATATGGGAGACTCAAACTCGGCGCCAATGCCGGCCGTACGGACCGTAGCGTCTACATTGGCTCTGTTGGGGTCATTGGCCATCTCATTCTGGGTTTCTATCTGGCAGTCCTCCAGAACGGGGCGGTCCGCGCGCTGTTCGAGCGGTGTGTGGATGACGGCTGCAGACGCTGTGAGAACGACTGAGGCACAAAGCAAGAACCGCATCGCAGAGGATTGCTTTGAGCTCATGATGAAGAGAGGATAACTCGATAATGAAGAAAAATGGGAAGAAAATGAAATGGTGAAAATGATGTTGAAGCAGTCATGGACTGGCTGCGGTGTTTGTATCAACAAGAGAGGCAATGCAGGTCATCTTTATAGCCTTGACATGAAGACAAGTATCGATTCTGGTGACCAGATTAAGCCCCCTTCCTCCGAGATTGCTTGCTGGAAATAGTATCCTGCAGAATGACTTCTTCGTGTTTCGCCCGACGCGGGCAGATGGCCGCCCCATCTTGTTGCAACGATGGCTTTTGCTTAGAAGGAGCTCCTCGTTAGAACGCGGATAAGACGGGAACGTGATGAAGACAACGCGAAGTTGTGTAATACGGGGTCTGGAAAAGGAGCGGTGGTGGATAGGAGCATTCGGTTGAGGGCAAGACAAGGCCCCAGTCTGAATCACTCCGAGTTTCCAAACTCCATCGCATACGCCCCGTCTGAGTCAAAGGCGTATTTTTTTTCATGATGTGGGCATGGAATAGAGGAGTCGGTTGAGGATGAGCCTGGATCAGAGGGCGAGGCCGGCTTGGCGGGCTTGTAAGCCAGGGCAGGTCTATCCAATAGAGACCCTTCCTTAGTCGCTAAAGTCCTCCGCCAGGGTCTGTCCTGAAGGCATGACGTCAGCCCGAAACAACATCTACTACACATATCACGGACCCCAAGGCTTCACTTCGACACTGTCTGCCGAACCACCTCCGTAGACTTTGGATCTTCGACCCCTTCCAACGCCCCCGCTTTCTCAAGGCCGTCTACAGCGCCGCCATGGCTTTACTTAAGTTGGCTGACGAGCTACTCGTGCTCATCGTCGACCATACGATCCCAGAAGGCTTCGAGAGCCTGTGTCTGTCTTGTCGCAAGTTTCACACGCTTTGCAAGCCCTTGCTCAAGCACCACAACGAACTCCGCTCGCACTTTCGCAATTTCAGTTATTATGTCAAGGACAAATACCCTTCCCTCACCATCAGAACGCCGTTTGAACTCATAGCCCGAATCGCTGAAGAGCCAGTTGTTGCGCGCTACATCGAGCATGCAGATTTCAAGGCGGACCTTCGGCTACCTGTTGGCGGGCGCCTCTGGATCATGGAAAGGGATGGCTATCGTCCTGAGACCGTTCGCGACTTATTCGCCAGTTCGAAGTACTTGTCAGACAACGAGTGGCAGGACTACTTCGAAAAGTATGAACGAGGTCTGGAAGACAACCAATATACTCAGGCTGCCTCGTCGTTTCTTCTAACACTGCTGCCCAACGTCAAGACCGTAATTCTTCCCTTTCGCTGGACACACGACAAAGAAACCGATAAGCTCTTTGAGGCCATCGTCCATCATGCGCGTCAACTCAACGCCACTTCGACCAATGCTAGTCTCGCATTGGTGACCACCCTGAAGACTGGGTTCTCATATGCAATGCGGCAAGGTCTTGTCCTGAACAAGATTACTCCGCTCCTGGCCCTTCCAAACATCCATACATTCCACGGCCCCACCTCCATATCCGACATTGAAGCTCGCGAGCCCGCTTCTCCATGTCAACCAATCCCGCCCCCTGTGGGCGGAACACTGGAAATAGCCTACCTGCGTGGCTGCAACCTCGATGGTCCCACTATGCAACACTTCCTGCGCTACACGCCGCGCCTGAAAACGCTCGTTTACTCTCACTCTGACAAGCAACTCAGTCGAGTTTGGGATATTTGCGACCTCGTTACGACTATCGGCAAGGAGGCTGGCAGCCATCTCGAAGAGCTGTCCATCACAAAGCGCGAATTTAGCGGCAAGATCGCGCTTGGAACAGCGACCATGCGCGACTTCCCGCGTCTGCACAAGCTAGAGATCCCTCTTGACCTTGCGACTTGCGTCATTAGATCCGCCGCCCACCTCGGAACGGATCCTGCAGATCAGTCTCATGTCAATCTTCTGATGTGTGGCCTAGTCCCCGCTTCGGTCACTCGGTTGTTCCTAACATCAGAAGAGTGGAAAAGCCGTGACGACGACCACAACTCCACGGCCTTGTCAGAGACAATCGACGGGGTTCAAGTATTTGAGGGGAGACCGCAACAGCACAAGCAAACCCTCGAAACCATGTTTCACGGCTTTGCTGAGAAAAAGGACGAGCAGTTACCTTGCCTCAAAGAAATACGCATGTCTTGTCATTGGTCTGCCGACGAAGCTTTGAAAGCCCGATGCGAGAGCTTGCGCGCTGAGGTGGAGAGTGTGGGCGTGGAAGCTCATATTCATGCTAATCGGTGGACGCAAGCGATGGATTATGCGGGGAGATCGCCGTAGACATCGTAATGCAAGTTTCTTCATCCATAGCTCTCCATGACTTTCGGTGCCTTGCGTGTATCCCTTTGTTGATTGCCCTGCGTTCCTGTCAGCGATTACGCCCTGCAGCTATGGAACGCCGCGCCGAAGTGGCAATGAGTACAACAACGCTCTGAACTGGAACGAAAGTATATGAAGGATGTGTAACCAGGCATAGAGTCTGAGGGGCCAAGGCATGTCAATCAGCCATCTTTCGTAAAAGTTGTTTCAAAGTAAAACGCGCGGGAGAAGAACAGTAAGACAGCGAGGCGTTCAGTATCGGACACCACCCGCGAAACGTCGTTTCTTGCGAATGGCCCCAAAGTTGCCTTGAACGATACTTGATGTGACTACAGTAACAGGCCTACTCCATGTCTCGATAGCCAAGATGTGAGATGGTGGCACGGAAATACAAATCTCTCGAAGAGGAAAAAAAAAGTGTAATACTGTGCCTCGCAGCTGACGTAGGTCTTGTCGCGAAGGATTGCGGCGCTTACACCTGGGTCTACGCGCGTACTTACAGGCCGTGATCTTCGCCCCGTCACGTCATGCCCAGATGGTCAGAGATGAAGAGACATTCAGTTTCAGCATCAGCATATACGAACATACCCGCCTGCGGGCGGCCTCTTCGCTCAGCCTTATCCGCCTCGCTACCTAGATTGGGTTGTTGTCGGAAACGTCCGCCGACGCCTGACGCAATTAGGGTCCAAGCAGATCTCATCTACTCCAGCGGTACCTAGCCGCAGACTCAAAAGTACGATCTAGGTACCCTCGACATTGAGGCAACATGCAAAGAAGCCCATAGCCTGCACTGATACCACGTCTTGGGATGTGAATATCAGCGAGGCTGACTTTGTGAAGCTCAAAGCCGGGTTTGAGCCTCAAGACCAGGACGACAAATGGCGTGACTGGCATACAGAGGAGAGGCATAACGGCAACGTCCTCATCCACTATGCGCGGGCCGAAACGGGCGATGGACTGTATATCCATGATGTAAAGCCAAATGACGGTGACAGCGGTACCGGTGCGAACATCAAAGCGATCATCTGAGCGCAGAATAAAGACGGTACCTAGGTATCTTCATCTCGGAGATGCAGCCCTGGAGGGCAAGAAAGACGCCATCATGATGACAAGAGCCGTGCTCGACTGTAACATGGAACCGCTTCCGGAGTACGGCTTCAACGATATCTGGGATCATGGCGCAGCCGCACTTCCTGTGGATGAGCAAGGATAGCGAGACTCGGACGCGTACCTCAAAAATCTCAAGAAGGGTTTCGATGTGATTAACGTGGAAGATGGACCTGGCGTGCACGGCGTCTGCAGCGTGTAGCGGATCACATTGCCAGATTGGAGTTGGTTTAGACAAGCTCGAAAGTGGGTCAAGCTTTGGAGGGGCTCGCTTGGACGAGCTTTTGCGGGGATAGCAACGGGTTAGGGCCGGTTGACCATGGAGCTCTATCAGCGATATCACGGCATAGATAAACAATTCCGGCTTCTATAAGACGCGATATCGCTCTTACTCATCGGTGATATTTTCGTCTTTTACTGTCTTACCTTTTCATTCGATATACGTCGTTTTTGTGGTGTGGCAGAGTTCACATCTACGCGTCGCGTCTCCCCGCATTAGCTCCCCGCAGTGTCAACACAGCTATACGCCGTCTTTCTTCCGACAACAACTATTGTGACGACGACCACGATGGCGTCTCTCGCTCGCACCGCAGGGCGTCTTCGAGCCCCAGCTTTTCGCACAAATGCTCGCGTAGCTTCCAGGGCACCAATTGCATCACAGAAAAGACATGCCTCTGCAGCAGCAGCCGCAGTTGCAGAGAGCGGCGAGCATTCCTTCTTCCCAGATGAGCCTCGCCAGCCTACTGTGAAGACTCAAATACCCGGCCCGGAGAGCAAGAAGGCTATCGAAAGACTAAGCAAGGTCTTTGACACCAGGAGCTTGAACATGATGGCCGATTACTCGCAAAGCTATGGCAACTAGTACGTCCTCCATACATCCAGGAAAGAATACCAATTGACATCTTCCAGCATCGCAGACCTCGACGGCAACGTCCTCCTCGACGTATACGCCCAAATCGCCTCCATCCCCGTAGGCTACAACAACCCGTCCCTCCTGCTCGCCGCCACCTCCCCCGACATGGCCTCCGCCATCATCAACCGGCCGGCACTAGGAAACTTCCCGCAGCACGACTGGGCCGACATCCTCGAAACGGGCATCCTATCCGTCGCGCCCAAGGGCCTCAACCAAGTCTTCACCGCGCAAGCCGGCTCCGACGCCAACGAGCTCGCCTACAAAGCCGCCTTCATGTGGAAGCGACAACAACAACGCGGCGGCATCGACGCCGACTTCTCCGCCGAAGACATATCCTCGTCCATGAACAACAAAGCGCCCGGCGCACCCGACATGTCGATCCTCTCCTTCAAAACCGGTTTCCACGGCCGCCTCTTCGGCAGTCTCTCAACCACGCGCTCCAAACCCATCCACAAGCTCGACATCCCCGCCTTCGATTGGCCCCAAGCCCCCTTCCCCGTTCTAAAATACCCCCTTCATGAACATGAAGCCGAAAACGCAGCAGAAGAACAGCGCTGCCTCGACGAAACCGAATCCATCCTCCTAAACTACCACAACCCACCCGCGGCCGTGGTAATCGAGCCCGTCCAATCCGAAGGCGGCGACAACCACGCCACGCCCTTCTTCTTCCGCGGCCTGCGCGCCCTCACCAAGAAACACAACGTCCTCCTCATCGTCGACGAAGTGCAAACGGGCGTCGGCGCGACCGGCAAGTTCTGGGCGCATGAACACTGGGGGTTGGATGCGCCGCCTGATATGGTTACTTTTAGCAAGAAAGCGCAGACGGCGGGGTATTACTTTGGGGATAATGAGCTGAGGCCGAATAAACCGTATCGCCAGTTTAATACTTGGATGGGTGATCCGGCGAGGGCTATTCTCTTCCGGTCTATCATTCAAGAGATCAACCGGATGGATCTTGTTAATAACACTGCGGCGACGGGTGATTATCTCTTTGCGGGCCTGCAGAGGTTGAGCGAGAGGTTCCCGCAGGAGATTCAGAATCTGAGGGGGAAGGGGCAGGGAACGTTTATTGCGTTTGATAGTGTGAGGAGGGATGAGGTGCTCAGGAAGGCGAAGGGCGAGGGTGTCAACATCGGCGGGTCGGGAGAGAGGGCAGTTAGGTTGAGGCCCATGCTAATCTTCCAAAAGCACCACGCGGATCTTTTGCTGGAGAGGTTGGAGAAGGTTTTCCACTCTTGAGACGGCACATAGGTTGTGGGATCATGGATCTGGGACGACCATGTGAAGGACGATTAATGGCTTGGGATGAACAAAGCGGAGTTCGAAGGCGTTAAATAGTCGTATCTGGGTCTTTTTAAAGGATGTCATGACGACGATGTTCATTTCTATCGAGTCCTTGTTGGTAAACACTAAACTCCTGTCTGGAGGGTATATATTATGTAGCTTCGGACATGTTCACAATCTAAAACCCATTCATCTTCATCAAACAATACCTTCCCAACAGATTTACCAACTTCTTTACTACCAATTGTCTCGGAATCTTCAGACGCGAAGGACCGGAGATAAGAAAGCCGCGCTAGTTAACCCCGCCAAAAGTTTCGCGTCAAGATACCTCGGAGCTCCAACATTTACACGAGCATACCCAGCTTGCGCGCACGCTCAGCAACCCTCGTTATGGCACCAATATCTACTCAAACGGCCCCGAAAGCCTCTGCGACCGCCGATCCAGACCCTCTAACCTCCACGAACGCGCTCGCGCCCACCACAGAAGACACAGCCGTACCCGACGCACCTCTCACCCCAAACACACCAACCACCAAAAAGCGCAAACGCAAAGACAAGCCCACCGAAAAGGCTATTCATATCCTGCACCAGACCACATTCCGAAAAACCAGCTGGAGTTACTTCCACCTTATCCTCCTCACACCAGGAACCGCTTCCTTACCTCCCACCACCCCGTCCAACCCATCCAACCCATCTCCTCCCACACCCACACCCTCCATCTCCCCCCTCCTAACCTCAACCCTCCTCACCGCCCCCCTGCGCGCCTACCTCGGTACCACCGGCACCGCGATCCCCATCGACACACTCAAGATACATGGTCGGGAAGTATGGGTGCGGATTCCGCGGCAGGATGCGCGTGGGTTCCGGGCGAGTTTGAGTGGGTGGGTGGGGAGCTGTGAGGGGTATGAGGTACCTGGAGTTGAGGGGGTGGGACAAGGACAGGGGAGGGTGAGTGTGGCGTGGAGGGTTGTGGGGGAGGGGGGTGTATTGGGGTGTTTGGGTGGGAGTGGGAGTGGGGATGGAGGGGATTTGTTTGGGTGAGGAATATGGCATGTACGAGTTGAATGGGCATGGTGGTGCACAGCGACGGCTATGTGGAAAGTTTCGGGGAGAGCTGAGGGAAAGAGGGCAACCGGCGCGGTTGACAAAAGAGACATGTCGGATTGCCAGTCCTCGATACGCCCCAGACACGCGCAGTTACCGGCCCTCGTACTACACAGATATCAGTCAAGCGAGGGAAAACGACGTAGGAAGAATCAGGCTGCGATCGAAGTCGAGATTACGACCAGACCTACCCATCGAAATGAGTCCCGATGCCAAAGAGCCACGGACACTGCTATGCCAGATCACTGGGAAAACACAAGACAGGACTCAGGAAGAGAACAAAGATTATTCAATCTACACAGTTCAGAAAGGTATCTCTAGCAAGACCAAGACACGATGTTCAAAACACTGAACATCGTCCGTTCCTCTCTCATCGCCATACTGCTATACCGCAATCTACCCGAGACCGTGTACCCCTTTATCCAAGTACCGCGCAACGAATCGGCCGATCGAGTGCGATAGATTTACTGCCAACCCGGCTGAGGAGTGTGGTGGCTCGGCGGGCCTCCGTACCCAGCCTGATGGCCACCAGGAGGAGGAGGATACTGTTGACCGCCGCCATATTGGTTGGCGTGCGTGGGAGCACCGCCGTACTGGTTGTGCTGGTGGTTATCGTAGTTTGCGGCGCCGCCGTAGGGACCGGTTGGTGCGCCGTATGCCGGACCTCCGTAGCCAGCTAGATGAATGTTAGTTCTCACGTCTTCCCCTTTCGCGGTGACATTGTTCATACCTTGTTGTCCGTAGCCGCCTGGTGGGCCGCCTGCCGGTGGTCCTTGACCGTAGCCTGGTGCTGGCCCACCGTATCCTGACTGTTCACCGAATCCAGCTTGCGAGCCGTAGCTTTGATGCTGGCCGTGTTGGCCGTGTTGGCCGTGCTGTTGCTGCTGGGGCGGAGAGTGTTGTCCGCCGTAGCCTCCGTGGGCTTGACCCTGACCGTATTGTTGTCCAGGACCTGGAGATGAGTAGCCATGGCTTGGAGCGCTGCCGCCGTATTGGCCGCCTTGAGCGCTGGGGTTGTAGGACGTTGGCGGGGCGGTGCCGGTGTAGGTGCCGCCTGACGAGGCACCGGAGTAGCCGTAGTCGCCGTTATTGGGCTTGTTGTGCTAGATGTTGTCAGCGCGTTTCTCTGAGTCGAGACTCATGTCCATACCGATGATCCTCCACCGAGGACGCTTCCAAGCATGCCTCCAAGACCACCACCACCGCTCGATGCGTGGCCAGCGCTGCCACCATGTTGACCTCCAGAACTTCCATGCTGCTTCCCACCACCTAGCAGGCCACTAGCCAGCTGTCCAACAAGCTGTCCCGCACCACCGCCACCAGAGTGACCCCCAGAAGAACCACCATGTTGTTTTCCACCTCCGAGGAACGATCCAGCGAGTTGACCGACGAGGTTTCCCGAGCCACCGCCGCCATGTCCACTATTACTCTGCTTGTTGCCCATGAGCGCGTTCATCGCGAAGCCCTATCTCCATTGTCAGCCAGCGCCCGATTGATGCCCAAGTAGCATGTCGCGTACACCCAATCCACCTGCCCTGTCGCCAGTCGGGCCGTCGCCCATGCCTCTTTGTCCGTCGCCTGCATCGGGGCCTGAGGTGCCGGGGACGTTGTATGGGTTCGTCTGTTGCGCGGGTGTGCTGTGGGACGAGGAGCCGCCTACGGGCGCTTCGCTCGTGGGCAGTTCCCATTGCGAGACGCCGGTACTGATCTGGACATCTATCGCCCTGGTGTCAGTATGTTTTGCTTCATTCGCGGGCCGAGGCGTGGTTGTGGAGATAAATCGCGCGATGATGCGGCCAAGGCTACGTACAGTAATACTTTCGGGATCTGTGGTCTATGTCAGTTTCGTGTCGCGGGGCATGTGGTGCGGAGGCGGGGCAGCCAGCGTGTCTTCTATTATGCTTGGGAGAGAGACGTACGAGTTATCCCACTGCGCTATCCATCCAGCGGGCAGCTTGGGAAGCGTAGGGTCGGTAGGGCCCGAGTCTGGCGAGACAGGCGGGATGGGAGGTGTGGGTACCGCCATGTCGTCGGTGTGGAGAGCAGGGGATGGCGGGGTACAAAGGGGGGATGCGATAGGAAGGGAGGAGGAAGAATATAAGAGAGATTCAGTATAGGAAGAGAGGCGGCCGGAAATATCAACACATCGCAGCCAGCGGTTATATGACAGGAGTGCGAGCAGCAATGGGCGGGTGGTCCTTGTTAGCGGTCATGGTGGGGATTGGCCAGGATGCTGGGACGCTCTGCGAGGCTGTGCACTTGCGCAGTCACTCGAGTGACGCATGTCTTGCGCGCGAATGTGTTTCTTCAGCTGCCTTGCATCGCTGCCATCACAAACAAGCTAATCACATTCACACGGCAAACCCGATGATCGCTTGGCATGGCTGGCTTCTACATGTGGCTGAGACAGCTGCCAAACGGTTCCCAGAGCCCGACCTTTGCGCCCGATGCAACCCAATACTAACACACGGATATCTGAATAACCAACCACATAAACGCCTCCCTAATGCATAGTTCCTGTCTTGATCCGAGCATGAACCCCAAAGCCCGACGCCTGTCATATCTGTACAAGACGTCATACCCGCACCTGAAACCCAAACACCCAAGATTACTCCTTAATGAAAGTGGATCACCACGCATACCCGCCTCCATCGTCATTTTCGTTATCGTTACCGTTCCACTCCTCATCCCCACTGGGCTCTGCGTCAAGGAAGTCGGCCTCGTTGAATATTTCCTCGCGCGGTCGGAAGTTGTCGATGCGGAAAATGACGGTGTGGCATCGACCTTGCACAAAAGGCTCTTCTTCATCTGAAGCCGCCTCTTCCTCCGAGGCAGCGTCTTCGTTGGACTCCTCATCGTAGCTTAGAGCTGCTTTTGAGCGAGAACGAAGACGCTTCGAACCCCAGCGTTCTTCTTGCTTCTGCACGCGTGACGGTACCAGAGGAACGTCACTTTCGCTACCATCAGCGTCGTCTGCCAAAACCGGGTCAGCCTTCTCCGCCATTTCTTCAGAAACGCCTTCAATGAAAGAGTCCACCTTCTCCCCGTCGTCGCCGCGAGCCTTCCATTCTCTAAAAGCTCTGAGAGACGCAAGGATGGGATCAGGTGTTTCCCACTTTCTTGCAAAGACCTTTCTGAACTTGGCAGTCCACTTCTGTCTGAACTCGGCTCTCTGCCGCCAGTCGGTGTCCACCATTGCGATGATAGTGATCTCCTGAAGCAGGGGAAGTTCTTCAGCAGAGTTGATGAGCGAGCTGAAGAAGTTGTCTGCAGACTTCGAATTCCAGTTCCGCAAGTACTGGCAGTCAAGGGTACGAAGTGATGTTGGCCAGGTGGGCATTTCGTTCTCGCCAAGAAGCGTCTCGTAGAGAGGCTCGTTATCCGAGGACATGACAAGAGAGCTGTAGTAGGTAGCATCCATTCTGAGGACCTCGAGCTTAGGGCAAGAACGCTTCAAGTCGACTAGGAATGACATGTCTAGAGCCTGGTTATGATTGAGGGTTAGCTCCTCGAGGTGAGAGCCATGTGTGGCCAAAAAAGCCTGGAATGCATCAGAGAGTAGCTCGCCGCAGTTGATGATGCTGAGACTGGTGAGATCAGTGGGCAACAATGGAAGCAGACGCCCGCTGATAACACCACAAGTCTCAAAGGACAAGCTTCTGAGATTAGGGAGCACAGCCAGCGCAGATGCCAGCAGTTCTTCTACTGTAGGTCGACCGTCATCCTCTTCCGGGTCCTCGCGAACAACTTCGGGGTGGAACTTGACGAGCGACACATCGCGGAGACTCTGAAATGCGGTTCCTTCGTGGATGGTCTTGATCCATAGAGGTCCTTGACTACAGAACGTGCTGTTCCATCGCCAACTTCTCAAGCGGAGGCTAGTCTGGCGAAGTGCATCAAAGAGCTCGGCAGGATATACCCAGCGCCGAAGTCGCCTAAGCCGCGGGCGAAAGGGTGGCCGGTCCATAGGATCAAAGATGTCAATTTCCCGCAGTGTCGTCAGTGACCGGACCAGGGCCGCAAGGTCGGCAGCGCTGTTTGCGTGATCCGTCAAAGCAGTCATCTGTGTAGCATCCAGCTCCAATCTTTTGACCATGACCCGATAGTCATCGTGAGCCCCTGGTGGAGGAGTGATCAGATGGTGAACGAGGTCTTTGCGCGTCTGTCTGATGGCGAATATGGGCGGGTTACGATACAGAGCCGTCAGAGCCGGTTTCGTAAAGGTTGAGCACATCCTGGCCATTTGTACTAGCCACGGTATCGCTGCGGTAGGCTTCATGTTCTCGTCGTGGAGCGGATGGGAGGCGTACACGAAGATCTGGAGGAGTACGTGATATGGCAGGGAAGCCCAGGCCTGAATATGAGAATTAGCATTGATCGATCCATCAGGTACAGAAGACATACCGGCTTGTGTCCATCAGAGGGGATAGTCGTCTTGCGCTCGACTTGAACCTCCTTGTTTGGCTTCAGCGGTGCGCCTATGACGGCTTTCCTTCGCGATCTACTCCTCTTGGTGCCTCCTATCTTCTCTGGTCGTGGTGACGGCGCTGCAACCGGGCGCGACCTTGTCCTCACTGTCATGACGCGCTCATCCTCCAGCTCGAAGTCGGCATCTGGGTCCTCTTCGTCCTCCTCGTCTGAGCTGACATCTTTGTATGATATCCGTGGGGCACCTCGAATACGTGAGCTGCGTGAACCGCGTTGCTGCCTGATAGGGGCAGGTTCTGGCGGAGAGTGATCGCTTTCGCTGGCGGCTTCATCGTCGGCTGGGGGGCGGCGAGTCGATCGTCGAGTAGGGACAGTGCGCTTTCTGGTCGTCTGCTCATAGCCGGAGCTTTCGGAGAGATCTTCGTCGCTACTCGGCTCTTTATACGAGACTGCGCCGCGTTTGCGCTTCAGTGTGACGGCCATGTCGCACAAGGTAGGGTCCAGTGACTATGGGGGGCCAGATCGTAGACTGATTGGCTGTGAGTCCTGCCTATAAGGGGCTCCTAAGCCCTCGAACGCAGTCGCGGAGGTGCATGGAGCAGGCCAAAGTGTGAGTCAAGAGTGTGAGGACTGAGAGTGAGTGTTGCGATAGTGAAATGTCGATGCATGCGGCCTTCGGAGGTAAGAGGATCAATGAGATCATCCGGGATCCGCCAGCCGATGCGGCTTAGCCGTGACGCCCGTGCACGTGACACATGCCACAACACACCTTTGCCTGCACACACCCGTCAGGAGTGTGGGGTGTCCGTCGTGTTCGCATTGCTGCACAGTAAGCCTCGCAGAAAGTTGCGATTCAGCATCTCGCCGGCTGAGCGCTGTCTGCTTGTGCGCTATCGCGTCGTCCCTGGTAGCCGTCGCGGACCACAAACCTCTGCGAAACAACAAACACGAATCCCATCAACACAAGACATTCAACTCTTTGTCGGCCAATTTCAAAACAAAAAGAGCAATTTGCGTAATTGTTGCGCGTCTTTCTATATCGTGGGACAGACGCACGCTGGCCAGGGGCGTCAGACCGCTAGAAACAACAACAACCCTGCTTTCTCGCGATCTTCACTTCCGCGCCCAATCTCCATCCGCAACGCCGCTCTGATCAGCCGCGCAGGACCGCAGCAAACTCCATCTTCTCTCACCTGATCCCACCGATGTGCGCTCTCATTACACATTCTCGGTTGCTGTAGGATGCAACTGAGCAACCACTCAATTCTGTAAGAACCACGGTTTCTCGACAAATGAGACATTCTCTAACATGCATGTGCACTGGTAGAGCATGCTAGAACGGCGAGACAGGTTTTTCGGCAACATAATCTTCTACGACTACCTGTATAAGACGAAGAGATTACCGTTCCTGGAGCGAAATCGAAAACAAGTGCAGCAGGGCCTCTCGCATAGCCAAAGCGAAGATCAGTATTCACAGACAGGACCCCGCTTTCGCTCTCAGTGGCAACCTCCATCCTGGGATCTACTAGACGATATGATCTCAGCAGAAAAAACTGGGGGATCCTTCGTTCTTGAGGTGCACAGTATACGGCCGCTGAACGCCCCAGAGTCTTCTCAAAATGGTCGATCGAATGATCCAGCGCGGAAAGTGCGGAATATCTTACGATTGACGACCTACATCAAAACGTCAATCGTTTCATCGTCGACCATGCCCACCTGCAAGAATCCCCCAGATCAGGAAGCAACACTGCGAGGATTCGATAGATCGGAAAAGGAAGCTTCGATCGAAGTGGAGCCCATTGTCATTGATCGCGAGAGTTGGTACACCGATCCCACCAAAATCGATGATAACGATATTCACATGATCATGTTGAGTATCAATTTCGAAACTCACGACAACGTCAAGGACCTATACGATTTCATGGGCGTCAAGATCGCGGATGCATCAGCTCGTCTTTCCACGTCGTATGGGAACATCTTCGATGTGCCACAGGGAAAGATAACCTTACCACTGAAAGCATCTGGGAAACAGCTCGGTATCGGGCTAGAAGTCAGTATGCATTGGATCCCGCTTAAAAGAGACTCGGTCTTGACAGGCTACAACCGTCACCTAAAAAGCTCTATGCAGCCTCCCAGCTCATATCCTACACCACCTCTCGACATGGAACCCCGCTACAAACTCACGTTTGTGTACGGGAATGATACTCTTGAACGATCAGAGCTCATGTGTCCGCATTGCTCGAAGAGAAAAACCACTGACATTGACGATCTTAAGATGCACCTAATAAGTTGGCACGACTATTTCGATTACCAGGTCTTCCTTGAGCAGGTCGACGAGCACGGGGTGGAGCACTGGCGATTCGAGAGCGAAGTGGCGAACTACAGAACAGAACAGCGTCAACGTGCAAGCGACAACGCTGACGAACCTTATGATGTGCGCGTACTTGCACCCCCCAAACCCTTCGACAGACGAAGATTCTTGGCAGGCGATAACGAGTTTGAAAGAGCTGCGAGACTTGGCAAAGCTACCAGAAACGCGAGATCGAAACTTGCCCCAAGTGGTCAGCAAGTCGCGCCCGCACCCAGGATACGTAAACCTCCAGACCAGGTGCAGTCTAGGCCAGAAAGGGAGAAAAAGAAATTCATTGTACCGAATCCTCCGAAAGGTATTACTTTCTTCCGATCACTCAGCAGAAGACCTCTTCAGCCTGGCGAAGAGATCAGTGAGAGCGATGACGAGCTGGATGAAGAATGGCTGTATCGCTGGAAGCACGCAGAAATCGACAAAGCAAACCTATCAGAATCTGCCAGACGGTTCATAAAACTCTTCGATGACTTTATGCACGAAGAGAGCCTGCAATCAGACATACATGTTGGAGACGCCACCGTTCGGTTCGCACGAGAATGCGGTGTACGGATATGGCGGGCCGGTATCATGGGCGAATTCACACAAAAGCTCGATGAATTATTAGAGGAAGATATTATCTCCAAGGACGTACACAGCAAAGCCTTGGAGATAGTCAACGACCAGGAGACAAACATTCATGAAGCCAACGAGTTGTCTCAGCGTTTAGAAGAACTCGACGTTCAGAACCAAGAGACATCTATTGGCTCGGCCGGGCTGAGGGTGCATACAAGATCTGCGCCGAAAAGAGACAGGAAAGGGAAGGGGAAAGCAAAAGTACCAGCTTTTGACGACTCCTTTGATGACGATATTGCCGACGTTTTAGGCGATATTGACAGGTCGTACCACCGAGCACTCAATGGCTACCTGACTCCTACTACTCCAGATCCTGATGGCGATGTGGATATGAGCGAAGCACCACCGCAGGAAGTTGAACAGCCACTGAAAACACCTCAAAATGAAGATGACGATCCACCCTACGGCTTATGTTACTGTGGCCAAGATGCATCGGCGACACCAGGATCGGGTATCATCACCTGCCATGACACCGTATGTATTGCAAATCCCAAAGTGCGTCTAGAATTCCGTCAATTAACATCTCAATAGGACTGCATACGACAGATCTTTCACTGGGCATGCGCCCAACAGGACACCCACTCAATGATACCAATCCACAAACCACGCGACTGGATTTGCTCCGACTGTAAAAGCGATTGCGACATGGCGAGCTAGCTCCTCACCGTCGAAGAATCCGTGGCGCCGTAGCAAGGCTACCATCTCCTTGACTCTTATCTCGAGCATATATGGCGTTCTGGGAAGGGTAGTGAGCAATGAGCTTAGCATTGATATACGTTTTCTGCCTTGGCAGACTAACATCCGTTTTTCCTTATCTCTTCTTGATACCACAGCATTTTTTGGGTGGGCTTTTACTTTGGCGTTTGATGTTGTGTGAGGTCGCTGCTTTGGCGACATGGAGTGCATATTGCAAGCATGGCGTGTCTGCGGTTTACTGAGGCTGATATATCCTACCAATACCATTGTTCAAAAGTTCTGCTCCTCATGATACGCACCGGAGTTGTGCGCCGTCTGTACCTGCATATTGTACTCATTTCGTCTCTGCGAACGGAATATTGAATCTATGCACGTCATCATCCACACGTAGTAATCTCATCATCGAGATATCAAAGAAGCGCACGCGACAACCGATGCCATGCCAGCCCCTCACACATGCATCTATACAACCGCACCTATATTAACCCCAATTCCCCCCCATCCCTTGCTCGCCTAATATCTCCCGTCTTGGGCATATACCACATTACCACCTTGACGATATTACCCTCTACACGAATGCCACTGTCTAGTCCGAATCACCAATACCATCATACCTTCGTCCAACTCCATCCATTATACATTGTCGTCGATATACGCAGCACACCCACTTACCTTCCCAATCCAACCCAACTCACCCAATCGAGCAGAAGTATAGATTGTTCCAATGCAGGAACGCGCAGGACCGACATCATCGCTCACGCACGCACGCGAGACGCAGGTACAAAGTGCCCTTCATATGCCCAATCTGCAATCGGCACGCGCGCATTTCGGATGCTGCAACCGAAGGTGAAGAATGAACCGAAGTGTGCAGGGCTAAGCGGAAGAGAGCGCGAAGACGGCGATCTGGATGGAAATCGAGAGAGGTGTGTGGTATAGACGACTCCTGGCTATATGACGATCTGGGTAATATACGGGCGCATCTATGGATATGGATCGCCTAGGTACTGTATGGATTAGGGATGGGGGAATGTGTTTCAGATGTAAGCGAGGGACCGACGACGGATGCGGGCGCTTCGATGGAGATGGAAGGTAGATAGGTGGTGTAGATGGGAAGTGGATTGTAGAGGATAATAGCGCGCTTAGTATTTGTTTCGACGATGATCTGTTTCTACGAACATACTAAACTTTACATGTCGCGATAATCGCGCCTTCCCCATCCCGCGCGCTTCGAACAACAACGAGCGACCTACCTACCAACCACGCACACCCCCCGCATCTCCCTTTGAGGAATCGGAAACGTCAAGAACGCCTGGCCCAAGCGTAAACCGCCCCATCCCTACCTTTACCTTCCCCCGTCCCTTCCTTCCTTCCTTCGCCTGTTCCTTCCTCCCTCCTACAGTACCTTCGCTTTCCAGAGCTTCCAAGGCACCACCTTGCATACGACGTATACAAGCCACCCGCTCGCACTCTCGCTCTCGCTCCGGAAAAAGCTCGCCCCAGAGAATAACGTGTATTGGCAATATCGCTGTCAGATACGATTCAAAACACTGGCGTCATTGAGTGCGGCAGGGCAGCGCGAAACTGAATATAACACCTGGTTGCTGGGACGGTTGTCACAAAACGTTTGTTTATATTTACACGTTGAAATCTAGCACGGTAGGGTTAGTTAGACAGTCAGCCTCGTTCTATGCCGTCAGTGTTTATCGACACGGCAGACAAATCGCGCCGTCGTGAATTTAGAAAGAAACTCTCCCAGAGCCCAGGGAATCGGTAAAGTGTGTTTTTTTGACGTGTCGCATTCGCGTTGTGTAGCCCGTTGGACTAAGGGGATGATTAATTCCCTAGACCGAGGCTGGTAGTAGTAGTGGAAAAGATGAGAAACGGCACTGGTATGCTTTGCTAGGCGCGATGTGGGGTAAGGTTCGGTGCGTAAGATCTGATACGTTGCGGCCGAGATACTGGAGTTAAGGTTCCGTCATCCTCCATCGCATCCCCTGGTCCGCGCTTGTGTACAGGGAGTGTAGTGGTTGTTGTGTCAACGAACAACCATTGCAAATCGCAAGAGTGACATTCCAGAAATTTGATGGGCGTTTTTAGCCGCAATGTTTACCACAGGCTAAGTTGGTTGGACAGGCAATGGCTGTCTGCGTCTGCTGCTGCTGTTCTGCAGTTTCGGTGTTGGGACTTGGTCGATGCGTGCATGCGTTGGCGTCATGTCGACTCCCCTTTCGTGCTGCAGCAGTAGTCTGCAGAGACAAGTGCGTAGCCGCAAACGCAACGCTGCAACTCGAGTCATTTCCTCACAAGTCTCTCAACCAATACTCGTAGCTGGTTTCTGCCGAAAAACTTCCGGTGAAGATGGAGTAGAACGTTTGAGACTGTGGATGGCGATTGATTGTTAGGTGTGGAGGTTGTTTGGGAGGGCGCTTACATGCAGATTGCCGAATAGTTTTGCGCGCGGAGTAGCAATGGTACCCCTGCGTCGCGACCTTGTGTATGAGGTACGAGAACGGGCGATAGTAGTACCGGAACTCGTAGGGTATTCATAGGTGAAACAAGACCCGTTGCTCGTGTCGCGCGCCGCGGCTGGCGTCGCCTTACGCTGCCCAGTTCGGGATCCCAACCACTTCCTATGATGCCTTCCTGGTCAGCCTGCAGGAACTCGAATGTCGTGAAATGCTAGTACTCGCTAGATGAATGGACACCAGGATACGTACATTGACACGCAGGAGCGGTGTGCGACATGGTACGAGGGATGCTCGCTCAAAGCGATGGGAAGAATGCGGACTGATTGGCCGTGGCCAAGTCTACTATTGATGCTGTTGCTAATAGGTGCTTTTTGTACAGAGGCCGTAATGCGGAACTGATCGGAAATCCATCTATCGTACACGTTGCGGAAAAAACAAGATGGCTGGCATAGGCGCCTTACTGCCGAAAGAGATACGAAAATACGAAACTCTTTAGTCGTGAAGAGAGCGATACTAAGACATTAGGTAAAGGCTCGTCATATCTCAACTTTCGTAGTGTCGACATGCAGTCAATGAAGAAAGGAATGATAAAAGTATGGCAAAGAAATCGAGCTTGACAAGAAATGATGATGTCTGGGACAAATGCCCCAGAGCTGCAATAACAACATGATCATGATCAATGATGCGCGCGCTTGACGAGTGATCATCAATGGTGGTAGCAAGCGTAAACGGCAGAGCGTACCTCCATGTGTCATGGCCATAGGTCATCGTGAGTGCGTAAGTAAAGTCGTTGACGGAACGCTTTCAAAACAGGATTACCGCCGTATGTTGCTTTTGGACGAAAGAAACGCTGTCATATGCCGACCGTGTCTTTAAACGAGTGAGGTGTCGTGGTTCGTGGTTGAGTCTCTTCGACCCCTTCCATGCGCACATCTCTGTCCCTGGATTCTGATGAAGTTGGCAAGGGCGCAGAGATGGGCGTGTATGTTGAGTACGCTTGGCTGCGATTCGGGTCGCCAGACCCATATTGCAGGGGAGATTCCATTTCGCTGGTTGCGCGATGCTTCTCTAATTCCAATGGTGTTGGTCTTGTTCGTCTTCTCTTTCCTGATGAGGACTCTGACCCGTGTTCTACCCCGATTTGTTGCTGTGGTGTCATCGCGGGAGCCAATTGGGAAGGCGCTGATGGCGGAGGTGTTCGATCGTGCGGTCGAGGATCCGGTCCGAGTGGTGACGGTTCAGGTGGTGCGGTGATGGATTGTCTCCCCCTCCTAGGTGGTGGGTACACCTCGCCCCGCGCAGCAGCCTCTTGCGCTCTTTGTTGCGCCTCCGCTTTCGTAGGTCTTCCGCGTTTCTTCTTGTTCGCTGGTTCGCCAGATGGATTTATAGTAGATGTGTAGGCAGGGCCGGCAGGCATAAAATCTCCAGGGTAGGAATGGGGGGGTCGAGGTTGTAGTAGGCGGCCAATGGGCGTGGAGGCTTCTTGCTGATGGGGTCGTTTTCTCGAGAGGTCGGGCGCAGGATATACCATTGGGGCAGGTAGCTGAGGGCGTCGGTAATCTTGTCCAGGCGTGACGAAATTGGTTGCGAGACTGTCAAATGCCATCTGGCTAGAGCGAACCGATCGGCCTGCGTCGCGTTAGTATATTCTTCTTGTATGGAGAGTACGTGTATTGTTAAAAGAACAAACGTATTCACGAAAGCGCAGAGGACCAAACATACCTGGAGGTAAAGCCATGTCGTTCCATCGTGGTTGGATGTTGGCGTCGCGTATAAATTGAAAGAGAACGTGAGATGGTATGGGGGCCGCTTTTAGTACTTCAGCAAGTAAATATACCTGATGTGGTTGTATTAGTGACTTGTTCATCGCGAATAGATGTGTTACAATGGGTGGGAGAGGTACGTACCTTTTCATGCTCTGCCCATGGTGGCTCGCGCGAGCTCGAGGGCTCCATGTCGTGATCCTCGATACGCTCAAAATACGCGAGGGCAGAGACCAAGAAGTAGCTACGGCAAATGCTTGCTGTATGCAACCAGACTAATCGAGCATCGATCACAAGGCCGTAAAGTAAGTGGACCGGCGCGAAGAGCGACGCGCCCTCGCGCGCGGTTGTATAGCTGCGTCTACCAACAGAACAAACGAGAGTGCTGAAACGAAAGAGTAACGAGCGGTAGAAGAAGAGCACTAAAATCAAAGAAACCTGCGGCGGGCTCTGGTTGTCGATTTCATGCCAGCAGGCAAGAAGTGTGTGTCAAAAGGGACCACATGAGGCTGGGTCAAAATAATTAGGAGAGACAGCTTCCCGTGAGAGATTACTGGGGAGAGCCACCCGGTATGTTATACATTAGCGGCTTCTCTTCAAAGACGAATGGGACGCGACTAGTCCCCACACCCAGGACGCAGCTTCCAAGACTTCACGCACGGTATCTGTCTAAATCAGTACTTGTCGCAAATCGATAACGAGGACTACGTATGTAACCTAGATCTGGCGGCGCTTTACCCCATCTCGAAAGCCTTTGTGGATGTTCGAAAACGATTGCGCAAACCGATGAGCCAATCGCCTAGAGGGCAGGGCCAAGCCGTGTCTCACCAGCCCTGGATGGTTTAGCCTGAGACCAACGGCCCTTCCCTTGCAAACCAGTCCCCTGCCTTCCTTTTTCTCCATGTACGCTGCCGCCTTTTGTCTCGGGGGTTTGACAGTACCGTGTTGCTCCAGATGACCGCAAGCGTGCCCGCAAGGAGGCTGAACTGTCGCGACGCGCAGCAGCGCTGGTGTCCTGCACGCAATCTGGCAAGAACGGTTCAGCGCGGATCGTCATGAGCGCGTCGCGCCAGATGGGGCAGCGGAAGACGGCCTCGTCATCCCTGTCAACGGTGCGATGTGTAGTCTGTTCCAGGACGGCTGCGTGAAAGATGTGTATCCAGAGGCACAAACTTCGCAGCGGCGTAGCTTGACTCTTTCTTTCTTTCTTATAGCTGGCCAGCGGCCACAGGGCGCGCATGCATAGACACGTAGCACTCGCCCGGTGGTCTTCCTCACCGTATGCTACGCGGAGCCAGTCGAGACAGTCGACGATCGGGAGCGGGCCGCGACTCGGCATAGCCCCCAATGGCATTCACGAGCGTCCGCTAGATGCAAGTGTCTGCTCTCATGGCGCAGATGTGCCGCTAATTCGCAGCGAGTGACACTCTGGGCCGTGTAGAGGCGGAGGTTAGCCGGTGTGGCCAGGTCAGCTGTCGTGCCGGCGTGATGGGTGCTGCTGTGTAGGAGTTGTAGCCGTTCGGTGAAAGTTTGCGCTAGTATACTTGTGGAGCCGCGCTGCTTCGTTCGCTTAAGTAAGCCACTTGGATGCCATCGCCAGCGACATCGCGATGCACCATTCGCGATCCTAGCTCACCCTGCTAGCAAGGTTAGTCTTTCGGAAAGATTGTCCGCGCAATTTGGACAACCCCAGCGCAAGCATGCATATCGATGCGGAAGTCGAGACTCTCCGACCCGCCAGCGAGCTTGAGTCAGTAGCCAAGTAGAACTCCGACGTACCTTGACATCAGCATATACCTCTGCAGTCTGTACATGCAACAATCGAATATCGCTGTTCAGCGCGGGTTCGCATCTTCCAAGGTTCAGTCACGTCGCGAACAAAGCCATTCTTTTTGAGAAATTGGGTTCGCGCTAGCTCTGATCCAACCCTGGACCTCTAAAAAAGGAACAAAACATGCTGATTCCACGACCAGCCACACGATATATTCCGATGACTGAACATCCGGCATGAACCATCAAAGCTTGCGGTGACTGACCTGAGTCGTGGTAGACATACGTTGCTTTCAGCAGCTCCCGAGGTCTGCTCAACATGTCGCATCACCCTGGATCTTTTCTCGGCCCGTGAACACCGTATATCTCGGTGACTCGCGTATGTCACTCCGAAATCGAATGTATCCTGATACATCGGCCACTGCTCATTGCCCGTTAGCTGCGGCCGTGATACTACTTCAAACCAAGGGTGCTTACTTACGTCTTCCCTACGTCTATGGTGTAGTCGCATTTGCGTATATATTAGTTTCCTCATGTAGTAAAGATCCGTGCAACACGTTGGGCTTTCCCAGTCCGTACATAGCAAGGACGCGTGACATGGATTCTTCGCACCAAATGAATTTGTGTAAGTGAGCACTCCCTTGGAACATCAAACGAAGTCATGATCCTTTGTCCTGTTTGCCTAACTGATTCCGACCTTCTGACAACACCTTAGTGATTCTACGAATCGCCAAGACTTCATATCCCGCGAAGTAGCTCTGTAGTCCGATGTCCCAGCGTCTCCGCGGACCCGAGCAAAGCAGTCAATGGTCATGATCCCATCATCGTATTTCTCCAGTGGCATCGACTTGATAGAAACATGTGCGCGCGCCGATGGAAACATGGTCGGAGGGGCCCTGCATCACGGACTCTGGGAGACCGAGGCTGGACCAATTGGCTAACGCTAGTTTTCGTCCGCATCTCCAAAGTATCGACCAGAATTCAGCGCATCGCGTCGCGCGTAGCACCACTTGAACACATCGTCCACTGACCGAATTCGCGTGCTCAGACTTCCTACGCGACAACCGCGGACTAGAAAAAATTGCCTACCGTGCCGTCGTCGAGGCAAGAGCCCGGACCCGCGAAACGCCTGGCTGCGCCGCCAGCTCCATCCCGCGTACCTTCATGGCGACAGCGACAGCGTCAGGGAAATACATACCTCCATAAAGCCCCTATTGCTCGGCGCATCGAGCGCAGTCTGGGCGCATAGCAGATCCGGGTCGTGTGCCGCCTTGTGTCTAGGGGAGGCGAAATCTTTGCTCCCGTCAGTGTCCAAGACGACCGACGCTCTTCTCCAGCAGTCGCCCTGCATCCAAGCGTGCTAGGAGCTGCATCTGGAGTGCTCGGTGTATGTTTGTCGCCTGGACTATGAGGTGAATAGGCTCGTGGCTCTTCGTGTGTGATATTTGGACATCGGCCGTTAGCGTCCCTCTCATTGAGATTCTCGCGATCCTCCACCCTCTGCCTCAGCACCTTCCACCACCCCCACGCCTCTCAACGACATGTCGGACAGCGAGTCGGACCAAAACACGGCTCAACTCGAGCCGGAGCTACGCGAGATGAAGCTGGAAGGCGCGACCTCGGGAGGAGCAGGTGAGGGCAAGAGCACCACGCAGGTGAAAGTGGAGGGAGATTCGCTCGACCGCGCGTCCACGCCTCTCGCCATACCTCCCAGGCTCAAGACGCGATCCAAGTCTCAGTCGCCCATGGCAAAACACGAGCTCAATACTCCGTCACCCGGCAGCGGCCAGGAAGAGATCGTTGGGGGAGATATTACGCTGAAGATGGAACCCGGCAAAGCCCCCAAGCTCTCACGCTCCGCCTCCCAAAAAGTCGTCACTCGCCCACCGCCGCTATACATCGACCTCCCCGACTCGACCGATGCCGCCAAAGAAACCTTCGTCGTCCTCCCAGAATGCACCTACGCGAACAAAACCATCGGCACGACCGACCCTGCGCTCGAATGCGACTGCCAGGAAGAATACGACTCCACGACCAAGACCAACCATGCCTGTGGCGAAGACTCCGACTGCATCAACCGTGCGACAAAGATGGAGTGCTTGGGCGACTGCAGCTGTGGGCGGAAATGCCAGAACCAGCGCTTTCAACGGAAACAATACGCAGACGTCACGGTTATAAAGACAGAGAAGAAGGGCTTCGGTCTTCGCGCCAACAAGAATATGGCTCCCGGCGATTTCGTCTTTGAGTACATCGGCGAGGTCATCGACGAGCGCACCTTCCGCCGTCGCATGGGCCAATACGATGAGGAGGGCATCAAGCACTTCTACTTCATGTCTCTGACCAAGGGCGAATTTGTAGATGCGACCAAGAAGGGTAATCTTGGTCGTTTCTGCAATCACTCGTGCAACCCGAACTGTTTCGTCGACAAATGGGTTGTTGGGGACAAGCTGCGTATGGGCATATTCGTGGAGCGCAACGTCAAGGCAGGCGAAGAACTCGTCTTCAACTACAACGTCGACCGCTACGGTGCAGATCCGCAGCCCTGCTACTGTGGAGAGCCAAACTGCAGTGGTTTTATCGGCGGAAAGACACAGTCCGACAACGCGACAAACCTCAATAATGACACGATTGCGGCGCTCGGAATCGATGATGGTGTTGGTTGGGGTACGGCAGTCGCCAAGAAGCCCCGCAAGAAGAAGGCCAGCGAGGATGACGAGGAATACATCAGCGACTTGCAGCCACGCGAGCTTGAAGAGGACGCAGTCAACAAGGTCCTGACAGCTCTGCGCAGCTGCGAAGAGAAATGGATTGCTGTCAAACTTCTCAGCCGCATGCAAACCGACAACGAGAGAATCGGCCATCGCATTGTCCAATTCCACGGTTACGAGTTCTTGAAGACAACCTTGAACAAATGGAAGGAAGATCATAACGTTGTTCTGCAAATACTGGATATTCTACACAGGCTGCCACGCATTACCCGCAACAAGATCCAAGACTCTGGAATCGAAGATGCGGTGAGCAAGGTGAAGGACTGCGGAGAGGAACGAGTAGAAGAGGCTGCGAAGAAGCTATTGACCGCATGGAGTAAGCTGGAGATTGGCTACCGGATACCGCGCTTGAAGAGAGATCCGAACGCTGGCACGCCAGCTCGAACAGAGAATCATTTCGAACGACGCGAGAGAGGTCGTGAGCGATCTAGGTCTAGGTCAAAGTCACCATCTACGATTGTGCCCAAAGGCCCATCTGCAGCAAACGTCCCGTCCGGTCCTCGCGGCGTGATAAATGCGCCTCGCGGTCCGGCTGGCTTCTTTGCTCCTGCGCGACCCGTCATGCGACCAAGACCGTTCAACGCCCTTCCCCAGGGTTGGTTCCAAGCAACAGCTGAGAATGGCTCGACATATTTCTACAACTCCAATGGCATCACACAATGGCAACGGCCGACGCAGCCTGCAGATGCCCCGCCTCCTCCGCCAAACAAAGCTAGAAGTGATACCCAGCTATTGCAAGACATCATATCCAGCATTACCTCGAACGGCACACCTACCGGGCCCTCCGCGTCTACCACCCCACAGCCAGTAGCTAACGAGGATATGGAATCCAGTTTCGGTCGTGAAAAGTGGCGTACCCTGTCAAGAGAAAAACAGGAGAAGGTGTATGAAGCGACAGTGAGTAATTCCCAGTATCTCGTGAAGCATGTCTGACCTTCACAGCTTTCACCACACGTCATGACTGTGACAAGCCATTATCGCAAGAAGCTCGAAAAGACGGAAATCAAGAGACTCAGCAAAGAGGTTGCGCAGAAGCTTGTACGAGGGGACTACAAGTCTGGTCGCGTCAAGGATCCGACAGCCAAGATCAGTTCCAACCACGAGAACACCATCAAGAAATACGTGAAAGACTTCATGGACAAGGCCGTCAAGAAGAAGGAGGAGCGACAGAGACTCAAGGCTGCCCAGGGTGGTTCAAAATCCGACCTCACCAACGAGTCCCCCAGCACTCCACAAGCACCAAGCGGAGATGCCAACGACGCCTCTCCCACCGACTCCACATCCGACCTCAAGCGAAAGAGGGACGAAGAGACGCAATCCGGCTCACCAAAGCGAACAAGAACAAGTTCTGAAAACCAGGAATCAGCGCCGCCACCTCCGCCACCACCCCCCGCAACCACTGATGTCGAAGAGACCCTCACGCCCATGGACGAAACCTCCACCCTATCCTTCCCCGACGCAACCGAGCGAAGTACCCTCGGAAACAAGCCATCCCTCCAACTAGACGGCTACGGCAGCCCCATGCAACTCGCGACACCTCCGACTAACGGTTCTGGTGATCAGCGGTCTCGACCCGTCAATGGAGGCCAACAACAGCGTTCATAGTATACGATGAGTAAGGTATACTTTATTCGAGTTTATGTATTACAGCTCTTTTCTCAGATTCTTATTCTTTGTAATTCTTCGGTTCTGAAGTTCAATACGTTCGTTCGACCACATGGCTCGGATGGGGTAGTGCTAGCATCATATGGCGTTGGTGGGAAAAGATTAGTGGGAGCTGTGAGGGGAATCGGGGATTCATTGGAGAGTGGTGGGATGTGGAGGGGTGGAGATACGTATGTATTATGTTGGGAATTGGAATCAAGAGAGATATCTACATCCGTTCTCTGTACTGTGCGTATGTTGTGATGCCTTAGTTTTAGGCTCGTCCACCGCATCCAATGACAATAGCCCATCTCTTTCACCTTCACTTTTACAAAACGCAAAAACTTTCCTTCCTATTGTACCACGACCGTCTATTGTACCCAGCCATCTCAATAAACCGCGCACAAATCTCCAGCGCAGGTAGCATATATAAAGACTACAATCCGTCCCTCTACTCTCTTTCTCTATCCTACACACTACCTTACCTACTACACATCCAATTCCCACATTCCCACAACAAACCAACCAACCACTTACCGACTACAAGAACATGTCACCCACTCAGTCATCATCACACCTGGTGGCTTGCCACCCACAAGCACTTCCCCGTGAGCTCACCGCCCCACCTCAAAACCAGCCTGGCGCCTACAACCCGCTCTCCCCCGACTTCTTCTGGGATACAGCCTACACCTTCCCCGCCCCCATGGCAATTACACCCCTCCCCGTGGTCATCAAAGTCACCCACAAGCCCACAATGTCGACGGTAACCCACACCGCCGCCAGTGCCGCCACCCTTCCCCGCGCCCCGCGTAGTCGGCAAACCAGCCCTGGCAGCTTCCGCGCGCAGCCTGCTAAAGGCGCTGTATTCGGCAACGCTCGCAGACCGCCGCCCGCAAACCCTTGGGGTGGTGATGTCTTCGCCAGGATCAAGGCTGATGATGAGGTTGTGAGGGAGCGGGCGAAGGGGGAGAGTGAGAAGGAGGGGGGTTTATTCCGTCCGAAGATGACGCAGACGTGGAGGGTTGGGGGTGGGGAGGTGGTCGTTGAAGTGTTTGAGGAGGAGAAGGGGGAGTGAGATGGGTTGGCCTGGGATGGGATGAAATGAGTGGATGGGGAATTGGTGACCTGGTAGGCGCTGGCTTGCTTTGAGATGAACAGCTGAAGGGGGTCTGAAGAGTTATATAGCTTCCCAATGAATTCCTCTTCAAACACTTGCTTACTTCCCAACAACCTTATCCCCAACCGCCTGCGCCATCATTCCCGTATTAGCAACACTACTCTCCAGCGTCCCCGCCACCCTCATAAGATTGACAGCCAAAACCTCCAACCCCTTCTCCTCACACAGCCTCCACGCATTGAAACCCCACCGGTCCTTCAAATCCTGCATTTCGCCCTGCTTCCCCTGTACCGCAGCCGTATACTGATTCTGCATCTCACGAAGATCTTCGGGGCGGACTTCAATCTTACTGGACGCGCGCGCGAGGATGAATACATAGCGATGCGGGCGTCGCGAGATGTAATTGGGGAGAGGCGCAGGGCGCACGTAAGGCGAGCGTATGGCGGCGGAGTGGTGCGAGAGTGTGCCGGTGGAGTCGCAGGACAGGTTTGTAATGAGCCAGTGGCGTACCTGGCCGAAGGAAGTGTCGTTGTTTGTCATGAGGTCGGGGTCTACCATTATCAAGACGAGGTTATCCAGGGTCTCGCTGGGCTGGGTACAACGTCAGTTGATGTAGTACGCGAGATCAGTGAGAATGCTCACTGCGGGATCGAGGAAGACTTTTGGTTCTTCTTTCGTGTCGGCGTTGGCTAGTTCTTTGCCTGGTGTGTCGAGTTTTGTGTTTGGCCATTCTAGAGCTAGGTCGTAGGAAAGGTTGATGGTGTCTGGAAGGACGTCTGGAATGACTTTGTGCTCGAGTAGAGCTTGCTTTGTTACTTGCGTGTTCGCCATGCTGTAATATCCTGAGTAGTTGTGCAATGCGTAAAGCTATGTAGAGTTGCAGTAGTCTCAACGCAAAGTACTTCGTCCAAGTATTATACCTACCAGCAGCCGCATATGCCGGGGGAAAGCGCGCATTACGAGTATTCACGCATCATGCATCATTGCTTTGGGGAGCGATCCGCTCTCGTGACTGCGCAGCCAAGTCGTTGTGACCGATCTGATGTACTTGGTGGACTTTCTTTGGTCAGTTGACGCGGATGCGCATGTAAAACGGCATGCTGGATCGCCGTTGTGGTACGATTGTAGAGATGACGTTGTTATGACACGCATGAGATACGCGATGGACCGGGGCGGAGTGCTAGCCCCAATCCAGGACCATCGTCACCCAAACACTGCACGCCCGAGGGAAAGACGAGTAGACACATGCAGTCATAGTGATGAGAGTTTAGGCTCTCAATATGAGCTTCCACTTCCGTGATACATCGCGCTCGGCCGCAGCTGGTTTCTGCACTTCGCTAGAGCACCCATTCTGCCGCATGCTCCTTCACCTCAGAAAACCTCTACAGCACAGGTCGACGAATACCCCCAGGCACTTCCTGTGGTTGTCTCTGATCCCCAGCCAGTGCCACTAGTGGTCCCATAGCCGGGGCTTCGTATCTATAACTTGGTGGCAGTTCTTTGGCCGGCTCGTGATACCCCGTCTCCTCCCTCATATCCTTCTTCTTCTTCTTATTCTTCTGCGTCCTTATTCCGATCAAGATACCTATAGCAACCAGCGCGATGACACCGATAGCCGCGCCCACACCAATGCCAGCTTTTGCACCTGTCGACAAGGTACCGTTATCGTTGTTCGGGGCTGGCGCGGTAGACGAAGGGCTGAACGAAGTAGACGAGCCTGTCACAAGAGCACTGCTGGTAGAAGATGGAAGAGAGGAAGTTGTGACAGCCCCCACAAACTCAGGTTCGATCTGATATTTCGCCAGACTTGGATCACTGCAGCAAGCACTTGAATTCCCGCAGCACCACCAATCCGACGTAGCGCTCCCATCACAAGGCGTGACTTCGACATCGTTTTTCCGTTGCTCTGCCTGTAGATAAGCTATAAGCTATTCGCGTTCTTTCACGTTAAAAGATGCCCGAGTTCTCGTCTTCACTTACTGCACTCGAACACACATCCTGGCAGCCCCCCGCTTCCCAGTTGGAGAGTGTACATGATTCGCGCCAGAAGACGCCGGGACCAGAAAGGCAAAGACCGTTCGGAAGGCACTCGTCCCACTCCGCGCAACGGATGTGGCTGAGCGGATTGGATGTGTCGTTGGAGCAGGGTTGGTATCGCGTGTCGTCCTGCGAGCCGCCGTTGGGCCAGAAACATGTTTGTGCGCTGCCAAGTGCGAGAAGAGAGAAGAAGAGTGGTATGCGCGGGGACATGCTGTGCTGTGCTTGGTGTTGGACGAGCTGGTAAGGCACTGAAGTAAACAAGGTCGACACACCTAAACTGAGAGGGTGTCGACGCCTTGTTATGCTGGGTGCTTGTTACTGAAACATACTTTTAGGATTGGAACAATGTCAGCTTGATTGGCCAGCGCATTCTACTGGGCTCATGAGGCTAACTGAGCTGATTGCATAATGTTCAGTAATCTAGCTTGCTCACAAGTCACCTGGCGAAAGATGTACTCTGGTTTTGTACGCCCCGTACCCACCAGGCTAGCAGTGCCTCGCGATCCGTAGACTAGTAAGCCACTTGTGCGGCAAAGATGCAGCCCCTACGCTAAATTTCGTGGCGGAGTAGAACTCAATAACAGCGCGGCGTTCAGCACTTGATCCTCATTGACTAGAATGCCAAGCAGTAGCTTCACAGCTAAGTATCAAGTCGGGCCATTGTGGTTAGATGTGATGATGATAAGACGCCTGGAAGTGAGGAAAGATGGATTGGGTGAAGACACTGTGCGCGAAGTCGTACTCTGGTACCGTCACCTCCATACCATGGTACACTTAATGACCCATCGCAACGAGCAACTTACAACTTCCAAAATCTATATATACCTATACAATTAGGTCCTCTCGAAAAAAGAGAAGTATCGTCATCATTCGTTAACACAAGAGCTTGGGTAAGGACAACCATTGGAAAATGACTAATCACAGAGAAGGGAAGCAACAATAGCATATGATTTGAGAAGATCATTGATTCTACTAAGAGAGCCATCGTCTACATAGAAGCAAGCACCCAAAGCAAGATCCATCCACATCCAACCCATCATCACATCATCAACACCACGCATACCCCCAACCTACCGTTTGCAACAACCAAAGGAAAAAGAATGGACTTACACATCGTTGCGTCCCAAGCATCTAGTTCATCTCCCACTCCCCATCCCTCCCCTCCCCAAACCAAAGGAAGGCGAGAAAAGAAAGAGCAGTCGACTATCCAGGCAGCACCACGAGGAGGCGCAAGGGTCCGACTTCTACCGCCCGTCCCCCTCTTGCGATCGCCTGGCACGCCCACCAGCGACCCATTTTCTCCTTGTGGCAAACACTCTTTGCATCCTGCCCGAAGCCCGTCAACCAAAGTTGAACGTTATCAGGTCCGCAATAGCAGTCTGCCCCTCGCTACATCGCAGGTAGTCAACGCCGCAACAAAAAAAGAAGCGACGCGTGTACCGCGGGACACCTCGCTTCATCGTCCCCGACCGAAGTAGGAAACAAACAGCAAGACCGGAACACTTTTCGCTTCCTCCCGGGCCAGTTCAAAAGATGAGCCGGCGCAGTCCACGCTAGCAGTCCCCCGCTAGGTTGCAGCAGCTGAAGCCACAAAAAAGAGTGGCCAGCGCGCAGACAGTGAAGACCTTGGGCCGTCGGCTGGATGAGGCGACATTGCAAGGCCGGAGACATTTTCTCGCTTTCTCCCTGACCCGAACAACAAGTTGCCTAGTTCGTCGCCGACAGCTCGCCGCTAACAACAAAGTCGTCCGCAGCAAACGTCAACAACAGGTCGTGACAAGCATTCGTCGTCTGGGTCAAGTCGCGATAGCAGTCTGCCACGCATACCCCGTAGTCAAAACTCCGCCGCACACGAGAGCAACAGGTAGATTCCACGGGGGTGCCTCGCCCCATCCCGTACAGTGATGAGGACAGAGCTCGGCGAATGGTAAAGCCCAGTCACTCCATAAAGAAGCAAGCGGCTGCGTTTACCAAAGAAGAGACCGTTGTCACACCGGATACCCAAGCACCGCTGATCCGTAAAGGGGCAGTGAGAAGATAGAAACAAGCCGGCGTAGTAACAGTCCAGGACGACTTTTTCGATGTTTTTTTGTCGATTTTTTCGTTTTTTGTGATGGTAGGCCGAACCAACGTGTTTTGCAGGCACGCGGGCAGGATACCAAACACGGGATGTTCGATATGCCATCAGATGGCAACACGAACGAAAGGGTACTAGCCATTGATACGAGAGGGATCTCAAAGACCCTTCGCGGTCGTTCCCCCACACTGTAGTGCCCGTAAGGGCGATTCCAATAAAATTCTCGATAAAGTTTGACACAATAAGTTCAACACGATAGGTTTTTCCACGAATGTCCACGCGACCCTGTCGATCGGTCGTCAACGGTTAGCCCACGGACTCTCTAAGAGAGAATCCCATGGGCCATCCGTCAATCTGTTGTCAACAGTCCACGCATGGACGGGAACACCCAACGAACAGGCCGTCGCACACATGCGGCGACAGCCCATTCGCGAGGACAGAGACTGTCCTCCGAAGGGAGGCGGGTGCTTGTATGCAAGTTGAGCCAGGGACCATTACGGTCTGTCAGAGAACCCCAACCATCTACTCCAGACAAGAGCAGAGGCCGGGAGAACTCAATATCTGTTAGGATCTTCCGCACTCGGCAACTTCTAAAAAAAGTGCCACTGGCGACGGGGTTACGCGAACGTTCCCTGCAGTACAAGTCCGCGTGTCGGTATCTCGACGGCAACGTATTCGGTCGGACGGAAGGATGGACGGATGGACGTAAACGGGCTGGCTGTATCCAGACGGCGCAGGTAAACTCGAACGAAGCGGACAGATCCGAAGGATGCAGGGCGTACCTGAAGGCGCGGGCGTACCCGAAAGTAAGATGTAACATCGGGGCTCAAAGGCGGGACTCGGAAAGGCAGCAGCCGGGGAGATGAAGGAGGCAGCAGAAGAAGACGAGATGATGAGAAGGATGGAAGGAAGTGCTTCCACCTTCTCCCCGTCCCCTGCCCACCACCTCCCTGACCAACCCATTTGCACAATGGCCAAGACATCGGGGGACATGCGGTAGAGGGTGCCTGTAAGCAAAATTGCCATGGACCATGCGGTCTATCGGAGGCTTCTGCGAGGAAGCCTCCATATCGCAGGCATCTTCCACGCTCGCCTCCCTGAACAGGGTGACACTGGTGGCGGGGATACGGCGAACCGTTTCCCTTGCTGACAGGTTCTCATCGCGAAGCATTTTTTGGCGGGCAGGTGAAGGAAGCAGCAAGAAGAGGGTTGAGTGAGACCGTGTTTCCACATTCTCACCACCTTGTCCCTGCCGCCTGCTCCACCCACCCTGTGAGGAAAGGATACTCTACCTGAAACCAGTAAGGCGAGCGAATCGGTAGGGGAGCCAAACTCGAGCCAAAAGGAACGGAAGGAGGACAAGGAGCAAACCAGTCTCAAACCCGGGAACACAAAATGAGGTAGACCAAAAGTACTCCGAAGAGTTTGACACAAAAGCGCGAAGCAAGCCATGGCTGACCGTGAAGGGAGAGCTTAGGTGCAATCGCAGTAGTACACCCTCCCGTCATGCTAGTCTGGGAAGTGGGTAGATGCGAGGACACAGAAGAAGAGGGAACCAGAAAAAGGTGGAGAGGCGATGTTTCCACCTCCTCCCTACCTCTTTCCCGCTGCCTCCCCTCCACCTCCCCCACCCACCCATATCCCAGACCAGCTTACGGTCGAGGGCGACTCGGCCATGACATGCGCACATGTTTAGGCCTGAAGAGAGGAAGTG